AAGCAGGCCGAGAATGTATATGGTTGAGAAACATGACCAATCATATTCAAACATCATGCGGATTAATTTCAACAAAAGATAGTCCAACAATTTTGTATGAAGATAATGCTGTTTGTATTGCACAACTCAAATGAGGATATATCAAAGGTGACAGGACGAAACATATTTCTCCAAACTTCTTTCATACACACGAGCTTCAGAAGAATTACGACATCGAGGTTCAAATTCGTTCAAGTGATAATTTGGCTGATCTATTTACAAAAGCACTGCTAACATCTACATTCAAGAAATTGATTCACGGGATTGGAATGCGTCGACTCAAAGATTTTCAGTGATCAATATCAGGGAGAGTAGCTGTACTCTTTTTCCTTTGCTTAGGTTTTATCCCACTGGATTTTCCTAACAAGGTTTTAATGAGGCAGCATTTATCTTTAATATTTCAAAATAACTGTACTCTTTTTCCTTCGTTTTGATTTTTTTATCCAATTGGGTTTTTATCAAACAAGGTTTTAACGAGACAGATATTTTGTAATGTATCATTCAAGGGGGAGTGTTGTAAAAGAAAAGTAAATTAGGGTTTAATGTGAATGACACTTATACCCCTGCAGCCCTAGATATTATTATCATATATATCCCTATTCATTCCCTATAAATATAGGGCTTTGATTTTCATTATAATACACACAAATCTATTTATTTCTCTTATTCTCTATTTTCATAACATGAGGTAGTTTATAATTTATTAACTTACCATTTATATGTATATAGAAACTAGGTAAGTTCTTAAAATTTGTCAATTTTCTTTTCTAAGTTAAATCTATTTAAGTTAATTAGTTGTAAAAAGAATCAAATTGGGACTAAATAAGTTGATGGACACAATTGTTTGGTTTTCATTAATTTATTAGCATAAGTTATTCTTAATTAGATACCATGAGATTAAATGTAAGAAGTTCCCTAATTCTATAATTCTTGTACTCATCAAAACCAATACTTCAACCCCATATGCAAGAAAAACGTCCAAGTCAAACTCTCATCCCTTTTTCTTCAAATTTTTTATGAAGTTTTTCTACAACTAAAATAATCATCATATGCCTTGTTTGAAAAGCAAACCGAAAGGACCTGGAAGATAATTAATAGTGGAGGGAGATGTAGACCAATCAATCAAATATTGATTAATACGTAAGGGATCGAACACTACTTGGAAACGGCTCTCTTGCTCAGGAACGAAATGTTCAAAGTAATTCTCGTTTTCATTAATAATGACGTAAACTTCTATTAGTAGTTTTATGATATTATTTTTAGGATAAAAGTTTTAATATGCACATGTTATCATAGGTAGTGTATATAAGTTGTACCTTGGAGTTGATTCTTAAAATTCATTGTTGTTAAAATAATGTTGATGCTTTATTCTTTGACTTCAAAGAATTTTAGAATTGTACTAAAATAAAAATTTAGGATGGCATTATGTTGAAAAGATTTGTGTATATATATTAAGTGTGATTTCTAGAAAATTCAGATTTATTAAACCCAAGTTTGATTTTATATAGAATTTATACGAAATCATATTCCTTGACCAAAAATTTGGCAGTTGCTTGAAAATCTTAGATTTAACAATTTTTAATGTATTCTAATGACCTTATAATTATCTGATCTTTTTTGAAATAATTGTTTATCTATAAGTTAGGAAAGATCATACATTTTTATAAAAGCTTCTATTAAAGAAATTAATTTGTAAGTATTTTCTAGATGTACTCTACTTTGGCAGTGTTAAATATTTTCCAAATGTACTCTACTTTGGCAGTGTTAATGCTATCAAAATATATAAATTGAATTATGAAATAGAAAATATGAATCAAATATCGATTTCAAGCCTGGTAAAAAATTGTACTGATTTAACTATTTTATATTTTCTTGTCTCTCTTAAATATTAGAGAGGAATATATGAGGTTCATAAATTACTTCACCATTTTTATAAAGAGTGACAATTCGTTCCTAACTATAGTTTTATGTTATGCATTTTTGAAATGTTTTAAAGAGTCTTTTATGTAATAGAAACGTGAACTTTTATATTATATTTAATATATTTGAGTTATGACATTTTTAGATGAGTTAATCTTCTTACATTTAGGATGCTTAAAGTAAAATAAAATGAAGTAGCTTAATAGAAAAAGTTTTATGACTTGATATAAGATGTTATTTCTAGTGGGTTAATGATAAGTAAATAAAAGATGTGTACATTTATGTTTCTAAGTAAATGATAAAGATTTAGGACTTACGGCATGATGATTTTATGGGCAGTTAGGGACTTTCTCATGGGATATTTAAAAAGTAAATTGTCAACGATCCAAGTATATCTCTCCTCCTTTTCACACGTATGTCATATGTTTATATGTATAAATGTGTTATCTTATGTTTCCTTATTTTCACGATTATGTCATATGGTCATTAATGTTTCTCATTACATATTTATACATGTCAATGCATCCATAAGTATACATGAAGTTTCAATAAATAAAAGTTTTCAAGTGTCAATGAGTCAAGAATTTTTTTTGAAGATATGTATCCCGAATGTTTTGTTACGATATGTATGTCTATGCCATGAAAGATGTGAGTGGGAAATAAGGCGTAGGGGATCGGTACACCTAATCAATATTCAATGATAATGTTAATGTTAATGTTAACCGCTTTGTAGTACTATCGGTAAGATTCGATCAAGTTCCAAATAATAATTGTCCACTGTATTTTGATTGGCTAGACAATACATCAAGTGAGTTCACGACGTCAATGTTAAGTTTTTAAAGAAGTGAAAGAATGAGATACATATAGAGAAATACCTTTTATTTTAAAGCAATTCATATACATATCATTAGCATTCATCATATGCATGAGAATTGTTTATTGTGAGTTAGCTCATTATACGTTACCCTTCCCCATTTTCAGATGTTGAAGTCGAGATGATTCCAAATGACTACTTGTGTTGACAATGACTTAGTGCTAATATAAGTTAAATATTTATGTCATTTTGCAAGTTAAGTTCTAATTGTCTTATATTTTATTAAGTACAAATGAAGTCATTAATATTTATTACGTCGAAGAAAAATCAAATCGTTTTCCACGTTTACCATTTTAAGAAATAAACGAAATGATGATACTTCTAAATCTATGTATCTAAATTTGGGGGTGTTACATGAACTTAATTAGTCGTCTTCATTGTGGCTTTGATAATATTAATATTAATGCATCTAATAAATAAATTTTGCAGCATAAATTAATTTAATTCAGCTTTTATTGTGTTAATTTGTGAAATTCGAAATACTTGATAATTAATTTAAAATTGTTTGGCATTCAATTTCTTGTGAATTAAAACAAACAAAATTTTTAGTCATTTAAATTTTTGTAATAAATAGAATAAAGTTTTCCCTCTTTTCATTTACTAAAGATTTCATCGATGGTTAAAATTAAATGATCTAACATAAAAGCCCGTCAATGTGTGGATCTCTCAAACTAATTAAATAATTATTGAGAGTAGATCGTTAGAAATTACTATATTTTTTTATTTTCCGTAATATTTGAGTCATGAAGGATTAAAATCAAATGACCCAAACATAAAAGTTCGTCTAACGAGTGGATTGTTCGAACTAATTATATAATTACTAAGCATATTTGGTTGGAGATTATTGTATTTTTTTTTGTAAACATGGTCGGAGATGACCTTAAATAATCCACTGAGCGCTTCATAATATCATTATTAATGCATTTAATAAATAAATTTTATAGCATAAAATAATTGATTTCGGTTTTTTCCCTTTATTTTTTCATGTAAATAAATTTTTTTTATTTATTTTGATCTAATTTTAGCAACATTGATTAAAGGCAATGAAAATTGGAAATTGAAGTTAAAAAACTTGTCACCCTCTGCTTATTACAGAGTTCATCATTAAAATTTTCATATTTAAGCATGGATATTTATATTTGGTATTGTTTGAACAATTTTAGATACTATCTAAAAATTAAAAGAGAAAAATATCTACATTCACTGAGCAAATTGATAATATTATTATTAACGAGTTTAATAAATAAATTTTACAACATAAAATAATTTAATTCACCTTTTATTTTTGTCTTGATTTGTGAAAATTGATAATTAATTAATTTAAAATTGTCCAACATTCAAATCCATAGCAATTAAATCAAATGAAAAATCGAGTCATTTAAAGCTTTAGAATAAATGGAAATAAAGTTTTAAATGATCCCATATAAAGTTGAGCAATGTCAGTGGGAATACAAATACAGTTTAGGTGACGTTAATGTGATATTAAATAATACGTGAAATTAAATAAGTCATTTAATTTCACCTTTCATTTAGCATATCATTTAGAGTCACATAAACGGTATTTGTAACTCCACCTGGAATGAATAACATTACTCTATAAAGTTAGTCAACGAGTGAACTTTTCGAACTTGAACTGTTCGAACTAATTATATATCATTTATTAAAGACGTCATCAATGAATGAAATTAAATTATCAAACATAAAATTCGTCAAATGATGGCCTGCTCGAACTAATTACATAATTATTAAGAGTATGTAATTGGTGAATACTCTATTTTTTTTTTTTTATGTACTGAAACTAATGCACAAAACAATTTATCTTGATTTTTTCATTGTGAATCAAAATGTCTAAATTCAATTTTAACAACAACGGTAAAATTGAAGCAAAAAAACTTGTCACCCGCACTTATTACTAGGTCCAACATTAAAATTCCCATATACAAAGCATACACATTAAAATGGCTTCCTATGCCAGCCGGTCAATGTTTCCAGTGCTGCCCAACTGTGAAGGTTTATTTTGCACCGGCGAATGCCTTAGCCTTGTTCACAACGCCTGCCGCCACGTGTTTAGTGTATTCTTTCAGTCTTTGCTTTATAAATATGGACAATTCTCATTTACTTCTTTTTACATTTCAGTTTCAAGAAAAAATTGGAGAGAGAGAGAGAGATGGAATTCGGAGGAGGAAATGGAGGCTTCCATGGCTACCGCAGGGTTCTGCGACAGAACAGCTCAGCCGGTAAAGATTAAGAATTGGGGGTTATATATGTCCCTAAATCTGTTTGCTATTCCATTTTTGGCTTTTATATGTGCGTGTGCTTGATTCTTCCTTTCTTTGTGTGGGTGTGTGTGTGTGTTTGTATGTATGATATATACATATAGACACCCACACTCACAGAGATGAATTGTTTTTTTAGCTTTCTATACTTCTTGATTAGGTTCTTCTCTCAACTATATACATGTTACACACACACACACACACTCTCTCTCTCTCTCACACTCACACACACATACAAGCACACACAGAGAGCCTATCTCTCTCACGCAGAGAGATAGAGAGAAAGAGATGGAAAAATACATTTTCATACTTCTTTTGATTGAGGCATTCTTGTGCTGGTAAATGTGTTTAATTAGTCTGCTTGTCTTTTGAACTCCCTCTCTCTCACACACTCACATACAGTTTGGTCTAGTTTATAGGGCATGTCCTTATTAGTTTTTTTGTTTTATGGTTTTATTATTCTTTATCTTCTTCTTTTTCCTCCTCAAATTTTCTGCGATCCTTGTTTCTAGGCTTATAATTGATCTTCACTTGTCAACCCCATCCCCACCTGGATTTTTTCTCACTCTCTCTCACACACACATACAGATTGCTCTAGTTTATACCATGCCATTTTTTTTTTTTGCTCTATGGTCTTATTCTTCGTCTTCATCTTTTTCCTCCTCGAATTTTCTGTGATCATAATTTCTAGTCTTAAAAGTGCTTTCACTTGTCGACCCTTGCTCTGGTTAAAGGCATGGCCTTATTATTTTCTTGTTCTTTGGTTTATTATTCTTCATCTTCATCTTTCTCCTCCTTGAATTTTCTTTGATCTTTTTTTCTAGACTTAAAAGTGCTCTCCACTTGTCGATCGACCCCACATCCACCTAGAAAAAAAAATTATCTCTCTCTCTCTCTCTCTCTCTCTCTCTCTCTCTCTCTCTCTCTCTCTCTCTCTCTCTCACACACACACACACACACACACACAGACATACGCACAGAGTGTTAATTTGTTTATGAAGGGAGGATCATTAGAAACGACAAGGATACTGTAACAGTTGCTATAGATTGCAATTTGCAAATTGCTGATGAAATTGTTGAAGACAAACCGATAACAAGTGGCATGCATGCAGTGTTTGAACCGCAGAAGTATATTAACAAATGTCACTCATGCATTCTCAACACAATACCACACCAGACTATTTTCCACTAGTCTTTACCCCTGCAATTTACCAGAGATGTTTTTTTCCATCTTCAGAGACATGTTTCTCTGTTCATGTACGAACATTTTATGCAAAATATGCAGCACTTATTCTTAAAGCCTGCAGCAAGTTCCAAAACCTGTCTGAGGAGATTTGGTTAAAATCGAATATTTATGTTTATACATTGAGGGGAAGAAAAGCTGGACTGGGTTTGTTCAGTTTTTCAACTCTTAGGTTTCACAGGAAAGTTTGAAGACAACTTATAATGGCTAACATCAAGAATTTTAGCCGTTTCTGCTGTTTTCATCTGCTTTTCAACAATATTTGCCGTTTCACTGGAAGTCCTGGATAACTCTTTTTAAGCCAACATTATTGGGCCCATGCGCATATAGATTGAGGAGGGTCAGTTTTGATTTGGATTAGTGTTGGTCTGAGAAACCTTTTATGCATTTTTTCGATTTCCAACCAACAAACCATTTCATACTTTGCAGTGTAGGAATTGTTTGTGGAGTATGGAATGTATGGATGTGATATAGAAACTTGATAACTGCATTTGCATATTCATGCATAGGTACAAAAGCACCAGAGATGCCTCCTCAGATGAACCATACTACAAACACCAGTGATGACACTGAATGCACCGTTCGGGAGCAAGATCGCTTCATGCCAATAGCAAACGTCATCAGAATCATGCGTAAGATCCTCCCTACACATGCAAAAATAGCGGACGATGCTAAGGAAACTATCCAGGAGTGCGTTTCTGAATTCATTGGGTTCATCACTAGCGAAGCTAATGATCGTTGCCAGAGGGAGCAACGCAAGACCATCACTGCTGAAGATGTTCTTTGGGCCATGAGCAAGCTAGGATTTGATGACTACATTGAGCCACTGACTCTGTACCTGCATCGCTATCGGGAGTATGATGGCGGCGAACGTGGCTCGTTGACTGGTGAGCTACTGGTGAAGAGGGCAGCAGCCGATCCAGGTGTTTATGGGTACATGACGTTTCCACCGGTGCCTTTCCCAATGGCTCCACACCATGGATTCTTTGGAGCTCCTCCGATGATTGGTTTCCTCAAGGATCCATCAAATGCTGGTCCATCCCAGGCTGTGGCTGGCATTGATCCCTCTCCCCACCGTAAGGAGCAGGTTTAGAATTTGCTAAGAGGAGGAAGTAAAAGAAAAATAAAAAAAACTGGGATATTATGTAATGGATTCACATAAGTTGTTTTTTTGAGTATTAGGCATAAACTAAGCTAGTCCCAGCTGCTTGCCAAATTTGAATACTTATGAAGTTTTAATTTTTGTTTATGATTTAATAATTTTCATTTTTCTTTTTCTTCTAGAAGTAAAAAAGTATTCCTTAGGGAATATTGTATCATTGCTCGCCCTTCAAAATAGCTAGTTGGTCCTCCAAGTTGCAAAATCAATGTCACTACAAGAACCATCAAGATCAAGTCATATGGCTCTCGTGAAACGAGACTTCAAATATTCGAGTACCCATCTAAGTCGAGAAACAAAACCTAAAGTTGGACATAGGAGGGCCACACTACCAATTTAATGGAGATTTGAAATAGTTTTGTAGTTGAAAAGAAATTGTGCAAATATAATAAAATTTTAAGAATCAACTTGTTACAAAACAATAAGTTGGGGACTGATATTTCAATTCTCTCTACTTAACATGTTAATTCTCTTAGAAGAGCAACCTCCCCCAAACTTAAAATGTTAGAACCAAATCTAGATGGTTTAACAGATTCTGTGATTGCCTTTTTTAGTCCCAATCAAACCTGAAATTAGGAACTGAAAGCAAAGATAAAGAAGGGGATGAGTACTGCTAATGCACATCAGATTCACATCAGATTTTAGAAAGAAAGCTCAAAGTCGATATGTTGATGCAAGTTCTGCAATGTGAAGTACGTAGAATCAATGTGCTCACATTACAATTCTGTCTCACAAACTAGAAACCGAAAACAAGAAATAGTGAGGAACCAAGTTTTTCTTTTCATGGTAAGCACCTATTCTATTTTGGTATCATCATGCACTTGAACTATTTCCTTTTTAATAGCAAAAAGGAAAGAAAATGGATAAGGACGAGCTGATTCATAATAATATGTACTAGTACTGATCAATTTCTAAGTTTCAATGCATTGCCTTTTTATCTTTAGATCATCTTTATTTTCAACATCTTCGCCTTCTAACATTCCAATTGTTTTTTCATCTTTCTCTTCACCACTATCATTCCATTCTACCTCTCCACCAGAGTCTCCCGAGTCAGACTTGCATCTTTTCCTTTGAGGAATGACCTGAAAGAATGAATCCTTCCAGTCTTTTGCCTCCAAGAACTTGAGGATTATCTCTACCACTTGATTCACAGTAAGGACCTGTACTTGAATGAAGAATATTCCTTCGACCAACCCACCAATGACATATATTGCCTTTGGGTCCAGTTCATTCAGCACATTTTCAGAATCTGCAGTGAGATATACCAACTTTTCTTTCTGATCTTGGAATGCTTCGGCTAGTCCCCTTCTCAATTGCGCACTTATCATATCCGGGAAGTCTCTGGAGATGGTTTTGCATTTCTCCCACACAGCTGATCAACCAAAGATGGGCCGGAGAAGCACTTCTGCCGTTTACAGCATAACAATACTTAATCTGCCTGTTCCATCTATGGGAATTAGCTTCTTCCTGAATTGGCTTGGAGTCTAATGACAGATATTTTGCCAAAATCCTAATATACTCTCCAAATAACATTAAGGGATGACCTGAACAATGCAACAGGATTGGACCAGAACAGATAAACAATGAAATGAACAACAATTAAAAGTATCCATAGAAATTGCAGAGAAGTTCGGGTCAAATTTTCAAAAACTTTGAGGACGAAATTCAACCATTGGAAAAACTTTTATGCACGGAAGTTCTCTATATAATGTTAAATTTCACCCGACTTTAGATGACCAAATAAATTCCAGTTTCTCAGCTTCAAACAATAGCAGTATGTTCAATATTTCCATGCGTTTATACTTAATTCGACCATTAACTCATTGGCAAAATTATGATTTCTTAAACCCTTGTTTCGTTTGGTCTTACTTTTACAGTTCAATTGACACATCTGTTTGGGAAATTACAGATTCTTTCAGTACATTATTGTGCATAAATTTTAAAAGCAAATTGCATTCAGTTTTTTAAAATTATTGTTTTAAATTCCAAAAATTAAACAAATTGCTGTTCTTTTGTGGAAAATTCACGATATTTTTTTCTCGCCAAATTTGTACCATGCGCCTTATCGATTACACAATTCATTTCTTTAATGTCATCATAAACTTCTTTTACCTAACACACGATGTCGCAGCAAGTTCACATTCATTAAAACGACATCGCATTTGCATTTGAAACACTATTTTCCCCCAAATAAGAAGGGAAACCACCTGTTGAACGAGAGTCTATTGAGCTCAGAAGAGTTCATCAGATGCGCGAATTCGAGATCAATAAGAACATTCTTGCCATTACTTTTCGCTTCGTTAAGTTTCTTGTAAGAATTGGGGTTTGCCCTGAATTCCTTGTTTGAAGTATTGAACAATTCTACAGTTCATTCCTTGGTGGAATTCGTGACAAGGTGAAGATTGTTAGAATTTGAGTTTGACCCGAATTCCTTGTTTGAAGTATTGAAGAATTCTAATTGTAGTTAATATCAAGAAGAATTCAATTTTGGAATGTTATTGGAATCCCATATCAAGTTGAAGTTCTATTTTGGAAACCCATTAGGAGTTGGAAATTAATATTAGACTTGAAAAAAAGTTTGGAATGGAGAAAAACACTTTAAAAGCATGTTTTGGAATATTAACCTGAAACCTAGCGCCTGAGCGTTGCTACAGTAACTTGTTTCGGGATTTTTCCCTTTTCTGTTTCCTATTTCGTTTTGGACTCGTATTGTGGACATTCTACTTCATCAAAAATTCTACAAAGAGGTCTTGGACGTCCCCTACATGTTCCCTATAAATATTTGGCTTTTCTATACAATTACATGTGAGAAAATAGATTACTAGAATTATAAGATTATTGTAATATTTTTCTCTCTTCTCTATTATTCTTACGGAATTGGGTTTGATTTGTTCGAAGTTTTTTTTTTTTGTGATGGCTTCCATGATGTATGACATTTCGCTTTTGGATCGAAGCACTAGATTTTCACAATGGCAAGTTAAGATGCGTCCAGTATTCGTACAGCTGGATTTGGATGGTGCGTTGCTCGGTATTGACAGGATGCCACAACTTTGATCGCGGAAGAGAAATTACGGAAAGATAAAAAGGCAATTTCTCACATTCATCTTCATCTATCAAATTCCATTCTTCATGACGTTTTGAAGGAGAGGTCAGCAGCTGCTTTGTGGTTGAAGTTGGAGCAATTATGCATGACTAAGAGTCTTACAAGCAAATTGCATCTCAAGCAGCGGCTATACTCTCATCGCATGGCAGAAGGAGGATCATTGGAAGATCATCTGGATGTATTTAAGGAGATCGTCGCTGATTTAGAAACATTGGAAGTTAAGTATGATGAAGAAGATTTGGCTTTGATCCTATTGTGTTCGTTGCCCGTTTCACTTTCTTCATTTAGAGACACGGTCTTATACAGTCGCGATACTCTCACTATTGAGGAGGTTTATTATGCTTTGTTTTCAAATGAGAAGATGAAGCATTTGGTTTTTGTGAGGTCAGAGATGGAGAAGGCCTGATTGCTCATGGTGGTTCTGGAAGGGGCAGATAGAAGACTAAGTTTAGTAATCAAATTTGTAACTACTGCAANTGCGGTGCCATTGTATTCAGTTGTTAGAGTTAGACCCAGTGGAACAAGGTATGTGGATGTTGATTTTGTTGAGCATACTTTAAGTGAAGTAGAAGATGTACAATCTAGCAAGGAGCTTTCTGTAAAAGCATTTGGTATTGATTCTGCTTTAGGGTGTGTTACTGCCCATTTTGGTAAATTATAAAATCATTATGATTTTTTTGGAATTTGAGGTAATTCTGCATAGTAATGCTTGAATTCATTGAAAGAGGTGGAGTATTTTGTATTTGGTTGGAGAAATTAATTTTTTGATTATTGTTGAAGAAGTCGTTCATTCTTTGGTAGAATTCATGTCAAGGTGGAGATTGTTAGAATTTGGGTTTAACTCGAATTCTTTGTTTGAAGTATTGAAGAATTCTAATTGTAGTGAACATCAAGAAGAATTCAATTTTGGAATACTATTGGAGTCCTATATCAAGTTAAAATTATATTTTGGAAGCTCATTGGGAGTTGGAAATTGATATTAGACTTGAAGAAGAGTTTGGAACGAGAAAAACACTTTGAAAGCATGTTTTGAAATATTAACCCGAAACCTAGCGCCTGAGCGCTAGGTGTAGCGCCAAGGCACTGCTACAGTAACTTGTTTCGGGATTTTTTTATTTTTTGTTTCCTATTCGTTTTGGACTCGTATTTTAGGCATTATATTTCATCAACAACTCTACCAAGAGGTCTTGGACGTCCCCTACATGTTCCCTATAAACACTATGGCTCTTATATACAATTTAGTAATACAATTACATGTGAGAAAATAGATTACTAGAATTATAAGATCATTGTAATATTTTTCTCTCTTCTCCATCATTTTTGGTGCGATAAAATCTCTTAATTCATCTGCCATCTTCTTGTCGTCTTTTATTCTTTTGCTTGATCATATATTTCATTATTATTTTTCATATAATTTCAATATCTCAATCTAGTGATTGACGTCATAACAAGTGGTATTAATCCTAACATTTCTTAATTTTCTTTTCCCTTTCTTCAGACCCTTTTTCCATGCAATCCTTTCGCAGCCCTTTTCTTTCATCAATCAACTTTTCCCTTTCCTCCTGGCTGACACTCTCCAATTTCTCATTCCATTCTTTTCTCTCTCGCTCGACCTCTCTCTTCTTCTGCTCTTTCGCAAAGGCATTTCTCCGCTTTCTTCACTTTGTATCTCTGCTGCTTCAGGAGCTTCTTCTTAGCGTTCTTGAACATAGGTTGCAGCTCAGTTTGCTCCGTCTCTATAACCTTCTCCATTTGCTACAGTACTGTAACTGTATAATCTCTCTGCGAGTGCGCTTTGAGGGGCTCGTAACTTCGAAGATTACAGTGCCATAGATGAATCAAGAAAAACGACTGGGATGACTTACCCAAAACTATAATCTGGCCCACCATGTTTTGGGCCTGATAAGTTAGGTGAGATAATTTTTAAGTATTGACTCAAAAAAAAATTAATTTTAAAATAAATCTTTGTTTGATTGGATTAAAATCAGATTATTAATAGACGTTGACAAAAGTTGGATAAAATATATGGTTAAAAAACTGTGGATCCTAAAAAATGGTTTGACTTGAATTTTTACCAAACAAGAACTAAGGGTGGGTTTGATTAAAATGGTGGAAAATGGGTGGAAAGAAATGATTTGCAGGGAAAATAATTACCTAGAAAATAATTTGCAGGGAAAATGATTTCAAGTGTGTTTGATTGGTATAATTTTCCACCCGGAAAATTTTTAAATTTTCTATTCGTTTGGCTTTGTTTTATATGGAAATTGTCCATTAAAATGATATTTTTTTCCACAATTGGTTATAAAATTTGTTCCCATTGCCAAAAAGTAAAAAAAAATGAAAAAAAAAATGTTTCCTAAAAAATCATTTTTTTTAATCAAAGTTTAGTGTTCGTTTGACTTTGTTTTACATGGAAATTGTCCATTAGAGTAAAAAAAAAATTACCATTGGGTATGACATTTGTTTCCATTGCCAAAAAAAAAAAATTGTTGGCACAATTTCATAGAAAGTGGCACGTGGGAGAGGGGGGAAGGAAAATTTTTTCTTGGCCAACTTTTACCCATCAAACAACACTTTTGCATGGAAAAGGAAAATATTTTCCATTTTTCATGGAAAATAGAGGCTATCAAACATAGCCTAAGGATAATATGGAAATATTTTAGCCATATTTGGAAGAATTTATAAATGGTTCAATTTAAATGATAATTGAATAGTCTCGTGAATTTATTGAAAGTAAAGAGATGTAAATGATTGCGAAGAGATGCAAATGTCATCGCATGATAACGACAAATTATGTTCGTCATTTTTTTAGTTTGATATTAAGTCCTTATTTGGTTCAATTTAAAAATTAGATTAAAATTTAAGTTAAGAGCATGTTAGTCTACCATTATTGGTAGAAAAATGGAGTAATGAATAGTATTTTTTGGAGAATGTGTGGTTGAAATTTAAAATAACTTTATTAGTTTGTATGTGAAATATTTTATTGAGTGAATATGTGTTTGAGATTGTTTACTGTAGAAAATAATATTTGTAAAAATGGTAGACAAACAGGGGCTAAAGTTAATAATTAATTTTAATCATGCATTTTACAATTTTTTAACGACACATTTCATCAATTTTTATGAAATTCGATTTTCTTTCATGGCAATAGGTTGGGACCAATAGTACCATAAACAAGAAAACACGGGGTACAATGACAAATAGTATAAAGTAGAGGGATCGTGAAAAGAAAAAACCCAGTCCCACAAAGTAATTTATGGATAAATAAGGGGTTGATAAAATAAAAGTCAAGCATGAGACAACAAACGAAGGGGAGCGGACAGACATGTTTAAAACCCTTTCATTACATCCCCAAATGCTCCTTTTGATTAATCTCCTCTTTTATTTTCTGTGAAAAAAATTCTCTACAGTTTAGTTGTCAATGGCTCAGAAGCTGCAGCAGCAGTTCAGCGAGCTCGGTTTGAAGCTTGAGAATCGCCTTGCTTCTAAAGACGCTCTCATTAAGCTGTTGAATGTGGGAATTATTGTTTTTATTACTTTTGTTTGAAGTTTTGTTTCGTGTGAATTTTGAGTTTTGTTGTTTGGGAACCCTTGCAAATTGTGAAAGATAATGTTTTGTGTAAAATTGGTTTGGATTATCATTCCTTCTCTCGATGCATTGTTTTTTATGGGGAGAAAAACGTCCAATCGAGTCTCTTTTCAAGACGCTAAAAGAAGTTTGGCAAAAATTAAAAAAAAAAAAAACTTTTAGGTTGCCCCCTCTCTGTTAAGAAATTAAAAGATAGGTTCAATATGAAAATATATTGAAGGAAGTTGAGAAGAAGAACATTTTGTTAATCATTAAGCTCAAGTAATACTGTGAATACATTGTTCTATTTATAGAGTAAATTTCTAACAAACTAACTACATAACAAATATGAGAAAAATCTAGAAGAAGCATGTGCTGGTGATGGAAGAAGATCTGATATTAGAATATTCCAACACTCTCCCCTCAAGATAGAACATCTTGAATTGTAGAGATAATAGCAGAGATACAAGAGAAGCCGTTGGAAGAGAAGTCGTTGGAAGACAATAACGTCCAACAGAGAAGCAATCCAGAGAAAAAAAAATAGCAACATAATTCAACCGGAATAAGTGAGCATCCATGGCTCTGAAATCGGGCATTTGCTAAAGACAAACATCATTAACATTAATGAGTAAAAGGAAAACTGGAAATGCTAAACAAACTCCAGCAAGGACACGGACTGCAAGATACTACAAGTGCAATCTCCATGCCTCTCGCCTTTCTCTCAGACTCCAGTAGGGTGGAACGGAAGCCATTGACATATTTCTTCATTCCAGAGTTGAGAAGGCGGAATAAAGTGACAGAGTTGCAGACGGAAGTGTTAAGGGATATATATCCCACATCGATAAATGATGTTGACACAGACCAATTAATAAAGATTTTGGGCTACTCCTCTTAACAAGATTGACCTTTTAAGATGGAACTTCAATTCTTAACATGGTATCAGAGTCCATTATGCTCCAACGAGTGATTCGATCCCGTTAAGACTCTAAAATGAGCACATGAATTTCAAGATTGGTCTGCTCAAATGAGCCACCATCTTGTAGGGGCGTGTTAAGGGATATATATCCCACATCGATAAATGATATTGACACAGATCAATTAATAAAGATCTTGGGCTACTCCTCTTAATAAGGTTGACCTTTTAAGATGGAACCCCAATTCTTAACAGGAATGAGCATTTTGCTTTGATACCATGTTAAGAAATTAAAAGATAGATTCAATATGAAAACATATCGAAGGAAGTTGAGAAGAAGAACATTTTATTAATCATCAAACTTGATTAATACTACGAATACATTGCTCTATTTATAGAGTAAATTACTAACAAACTAATTACATAACAAACAGAATAATGATCTAGAAGAAGCGTGTGCTGGTGATGGAAGAAGGAACTGATATTGAAATATTCCAACACTCTCAGTGAATTTTTTGCCCATTTTCTGATTTTTGGATCACAAGGGCTTAGTTATGTATATGTGTGTGTGCGCACGAGCTCTTATTAAACATGTGTATAGGAGTACATGGTAACATGTATGTGTTTTTGAAACCTCGTTATCTTTTAATGCAAAATTGGGATTCAATTGATTTGCTCTCACAATATCATGCTGCGAGAACTGTCATAAGCTGTTTTTTTTATATTGATCAATGATAAAATGCATTCTTTTCCTCACAAGTTCTATTTGTTGAACATGACTCAGTTTTGATGCTAGTTCCTTTCTTCTTTAGAGCACATCGATGGACTGGAAGTTCCACGGAGGACTTGATGTCTTGATTGTTTGCAAAATAAAATATTTGGTGGCCACAGGATAAAAAGTGAGTGATTGATTACCTCAGGAAACTATGATTTCGACGTCTTTCAACAAAGAAAAAGAGATGAAGAAGAGTCTCAATTATAGGATGTAATTTCTTTGAGCATCAAATCATTCTTTAGACTAGTATGGTAGTATGCTTTTGAATATTTCTCAAAAATTACTCCCAGTTGGCTCTTTCTTTGAAATTTTGAATCCAAGAAAGGTGTAATATCAAGCCATGTAAAACCACCATAGTCCATAATTCGTCTCTTTCTTTTTTGTTTGATTTCTCTTTCTGCTGGGGCTATAAATGTTAAAGAGATCTTTTTTGTAACTTCAGTAATTATGCTTCACTGAACCTTCACTAAAAGACTTCCCTCGGTGTGATGGTTTTTGACCTTCACGTTATAAGATTACCTCCTAAAGAACTCGCTATCTAAAATATTAGTCAGTTTAACTATCCATTATCTATTGACACTGGTCCTAAATCATATGTTTTCTCTTCTTGTTATGCTGAGTATGCTGCTTTAAGATCTCATAACTGTCAAATTTTACAGGTTCTACGAAGGTGTTAAATCTTTTGATTCCCAGAAAACGAAGCACGTGGTAAGCTGCAATTTTCTGGGTCATTTTCTATCGTGGTGCTATAGCAAATTGTTTGCCAATTTTATCCTAGTTATCTTTTTCATTGTTCAATGTGTTGTAATTTTTCTAATTGGTTCATTTCAAAGATATTATATGATGACGGGGATGTGGAAGTTCTACGATTAGACAAGTAGCTGAGGGAGCTTGTTGACAATTACCAAAAAGCTATAAAAGCTGTAAATGTCTAATTTTTCAATTTTTTTTCTATTGAAAGTGTACTATTTTCTGGTTTGCCGTTAGAGCAAAGATCGTGGCTTAAGATCTAACAAGGTTTTCAACACCATTTGCAGCGGTCAAATGCATTGAAGGGTTCCAGTCCTAAAAGAGTGTAAGTGCTCCCTTCATGTAATGCCCCAATCTTCATATAGTAGAGCATATTTTATGATTTGCTGAAGCCCCCAGATTCATCTCAACAAATATAATAGGGAGTTTATTTTCATTGAACAATAAAATACTGGCTTGATTTTTTAAATATTACTTGAACTGCCATTTAGCATATACACTTGCTATCGTTCTCTTCAACCCAGTTGTAGTGAAATGCTTGATTAGTTAATGTATAGGAAACTGCATCTGCTCAAATCATTTTTGTGTCCATGGTTATGGAAAGGCGATTGATTATCACTACATGTATTTATTTATAATGTTTATTTACTTCATTGTCAATCTCTCTCCACTTGCGCAGCTGCATCAGCAAAGTAAGCTATCTGGAAATTTATTTTTTCATTAACTATGCAGATCATCTGGGAAAAAACGGAAGTCTGTAGGAAGCTCAAGAGTAGATAAAAAAAAATGTCTGAGATGTAAGTCAGCTGTTGCAATCCGATTGAGCTTGAAATATTTTTGTCATTGGTTTGTCGTCGTCTTATGTACAAGATTGACTGGCACATCCCCTCCCTCTCAAGTAAGAAGGAGAAGAACCACTCAAGAGAAAGTGAAGCAGATTCAAAATGGTGTATTGAAGCGTAAATCCTCTACCAAGAGGAGGGGAAGCCCTGTTGTTGCACGACCTGAATCTGCCACAAAGTCCATTCTTGATGATGTGGAATCAGGTGAAAGATTTTATTGTTACATTTTCTTTCTAATTGAATAAATCATTCTAGTGAAACGGAATATGTACTGCTGATTCTTATGCTAAAATCAAAAGATGGTAAATCGAAGGAATTTTGAGCACGTGGGATTTCCTGATCGATTTTTAAACTCATTTTTTGACATTTCTTATACTAGGTCATAGGTCATACATTACAACAGAATGTATACTTTTGTAATTTAATATATCCATTTCATAAAATATTCACCTGGACAGCATAACCCTGAGTTAGGTTAAGTTTACTTGCAATTGAACCATACACCACAACTAGTTCTTATCTGTTTATAATACAAACTAGATTTCAAACTTGTCTTGAGACATAATCATTTGGAAATATGAGTCTCCGTGAACTATTTAATCAGTGAATTTGGTAAATTGTGATTTTGTTACCTTTTATTTTGTAGTAAGATCATTGTCAAAGAAATAAACCTATACACTGTTAACGATTGCTGGTAATTGGGAGGTGAAATCTCCAAATACTCACTAATTTCCAAAATCTATATAGCAATCATAGGTTCTGTTACCTCTACATGTAAATCATTTGTTGCAAATAGTTATGTGAATTGCTAGCTCGAGATCTCTGAGTTTGAAAATAGCTTTAAATTTAAAAACTGCGCCCTGTTTTGTCTTGTCTATTTACATGTTCTCTTATCAAGAGCAGTACAGATTGATGTTAATTGTTAACTCTTCAACTTCCTGACAATTCAGAGGAACCAAATGAAATATTTGAAAAGAGTTCAGCTGATGAAGATCAATCTGAGAAGGCTGAGGGGTCAGTTTTGGAGGTGGAACAAATGGAAGATGCTGAGGATGTCTCAAGGAGTGCTGCAGAATCCAAAGAAGAAGAAATGATAGAATCAGACTCTCAAGGCAGTCAATTTGATGACATGGTAGTCATCCACCAGCGTCAAATAAACCCGAAAAGGGGACTCCACCGTCTGATTTTCTCCTTGCGGAATTTTCTGATGATGAGCCCCTTGCACTAACTCTCCCCATGCGCTTGGCATATTATTTATAAATATTGTTGATACACATGATTTCTGTATACTGATGGAGTTTTTGTTAATTGCAGAGCACATGGAAACACCAAGTAGGGAAAGAAGATTAAGGGCCAATGCTTCTCCAATGAAACATCAGATGCAAATTTGGTGCAGTACTGAGAAGCTGAGATTAGATGACAACATTCTCAATAAAGTCAGTTGATTAGGGTAAAATTGTATCCCTTAGGAACCTCAGTTGACCCTGTTAAATTGATGTAAAGTTTCCCTTCAGTAAATTATAGGACACAGTAGAGATGTGGCATATAGGATATAAAGATGATGGGATGGGCAGTACTAATTTGGAGCAATCAACTAAACGTTTTGTTTCTTCTTAGGTTTCATGTAAAGTTACAATTCGTCGCACATTCTACTGTAGCTTGGGCAGGCCATCTTTATAACTTAGATTTCTTGTTTGTACATAAGCATATTGGTTAAGGTTATGTAAGTGCATCTTGTTTTACAGTCATCTCTTTCAATAGAGCTCCAAGTACAGAAAAATTGATATGGCCGAACATGATTGGTCTTTTTTTTCATCTTCCAATGGTGTCGCGCCAAGTGTTGTCCATCAAAATTTTCTGTCAAAAAAATCTATATTTATAGCATGATTGCATCTCTTGTTGTTCATTGTCATAATCTTTCTAGAGAAGCTATGGGTAAAAATAGGGAAATTGCAATGGGTCCTTAACCTTTTCAGAAAACTACAATACTAAAGACATGCTACAGTATATAGAATGTGGCAGTACTTATAATGTATAAAATTTAAGTTCTTTTCCATAATATTTAGTTTCGTGAGTGTTTATTATACTCCTTATAATGAATAAAATTAAAGGTATTTTCTTTATATTGTCTAGCATTGTGGATGTTAATTATACTGCACAGGATTTGCACGGAATTTGTGGGTTTTTCTTCCTCGTGTTCAATTCAACCTCAACATACTATACGAGTGTTTATGCAAGTGCAGTGCTTGTAAAAACATTAACTTATTTTGAAAGTAATTGTATATTTGGATAGAAGTGATGATTTTGAGATTTACGATACTATTGGTTTGATTTAGCTATTTGTACAGTTACGTTTTGAATCTTTAGCATCAACATTTTATTAGCAAACTCAAGTTGATTACTATGGTTCTTAAGGTTAGGGCATATTTTTAATTTACCAATAATTCAATTTCCATAGTAATATTAAATATTAATTGAAAAAGAAGGTAACGTAAATACTAGAATATATAATTACTAAGTCAGTTAAGGAACAAAGGCGGGGATAGCTCAGTTGGGAGAGCGTCAGACTGAAGATCTGAAGGTCACGTGTTCGATCCACGTTCACCGCATTGCTGTTTTAATATTAATTTTTATGTACTCATTTTTCAGATTTTGTTGTCAAGACGTACCAAGAAAAACCAGGGAAACAATAACCATCGTTATAAATAGTTTTATTTTTTCTTCCTCTTGCATCGCGCGACAACATACTGTCCAGTTCACAATATATTTAAAGTTGGCCAAGTCATTTTTTTTTAACCACCACTTCATAGATTTTTACATTACCCAAAATGTTCGGATTATCCTTTTTGGTTTGCAACCAAAAGTACAACAAATAGCAACATCACTGGTTTCGGTGTCAGCACATGCAATCATAAATACACCGGGATACAGCCATAAAGTCTACAAACTTGAGGTGTGCATCTAACCTTTGGCCCTACAATGTCATGAATTCAAGAAAATCTTCAAGAAATTGTCCAAAAACATATACAACACTCATAATTCTGAAGTTCATCCTGTGGCCAAATGCAATGCAAATCATGCTTTCACAATCTACTAATACCATAAACTTGTTTCATGTGTATGAATCTTATGTTTCTGAAACTTATATGAAATGAAAAGTTCTATTTAGTCAAATAAAGAGTGTGTTGTAACCCGGGATGTTGAAGAAAGGACCTCCCCAAGGCCCTTTTCAAGCATTCGTTGATAGGCAATCGTTGACTCTTACAGGCAGCAAGAAGCCTGGTCACGCTTTGGTGAACTTCACGCGGTTAAAAGAGGAAACTACAAAATAAAAATAGTTGGAGCACACCCAGAAAGATTCTAATTATGGTAAGTTTCTCCATTATTGAAAACAGATTCCAATAATACTGCTATTACCTAGAAGAAATCGAACTCTAGATATTTGTCACTTTTCTGATCTGGAATAGCTGCGGGAAGAGCAGTCTTCTCGTCCTTTGTTGCTGCTGGAACGGGTAACCTTTCAAACTCGACAGGCTTTGGGATATCGGGAGGGGTGGCACAACGTATCAAAGCCCAATTAACTCCTTCAAAGAATGGGTGCTGCTTAATCTCAGTTGCACCTCGTTTATAAGCTAATCTGTGTTGTGGTTCTTTCACGAGCAAACCCCTGATCAAATCCCTTGCAGCAAAACTAACAACCGGTGATTCTGGAAATCTGAGAGGTTGTCCGACAACATTAAACAATGTGGCTCGATTGCCAGATCCTTTAAATGGAGTTTTGCCAGACAAAAGTTCGTATAGGAAAATCCCAAAAGTCCACCAATCCACTGCACTTCCATGACCTTCACCTTTGATGATTTCAGGTGCCAGGTATTCATGGGTTCCCACGAACGACATTGACCGAGCATTGGTTGGTTCAGCCATCAGCTCAGGTAACGGGCTAACTTGGTTACCAATTTCATTTTTGGGCTTCCCATCCTTTTTGGATTTCCTTGAAAAGAGACGAGGAGAGAAGCATGATGTTGGAACCACACACGATGGCTGAATGCAGGCAGGTTCAATGCAAGCTGGCTGGACACAATACGCAGAATTTTTCCGCAGGGGCTCAGATTCCAATGATGAGGTCTTGACCAATGTTGGGCTGACAACACAACGAAGTGAAAGGTCAAAATCCGAGAGCATTATATGTCCATCGTCCCTCACAAGAACGTTTTCTGGCTTCAGGTCACGATATACTATCCCAAGCATGTGTAAATATTCTAAAGCAAGCAGGACTTCTGCCACATAAAATCTGCCACCAAGTAAATGAAAATAGGAAATGTTAAATGCATTGGATTCAAGATAGACTTCTACCGTGGTAACAAAAAATTTCTGATCTAAGATACTCATTAGATCAAAGATGACCACAGGGTGGCGTTATTTTATCCAGTTCTCCTGATATTTGAGGTATTACTAATAATTGATTTGTTATACCTATTGCCACAGATCTTTTTTTTTTTTTTCCTGAAACATAAATTTAAATTTATCACAAAGTAAGAAATCAAGTATGGTTTGTCCTTATTTCACTTAATATGAACACACCAATTCAATTTCATGCCAAAATGACTACTATATCTTGGATTCTTAATGACCTGATAGTTCGAGAAGCTTATTTAATGTCTACGATGTTAATTTCATAAGGATTTTGGACCATATGGAAATGTAGAAAAATACTTACAAGCCTGTACAACATTTCACGTAGTTAAAATTATCAAACAAACTGCAATTTTGACTGAAAGAAGAGGCATGAGTTTCTACTATGATTTGACAAACACTTGATCCTCTTAACATCAAAATAATATTGAGATATATGAAACGGAACTATAAATTTGATAAATCTGCTTTCCAAAGAATGCATCATATGTATTTCAGATAATTTCAAGAATATATATTATATGAGAGAAAAAAGAAGCATGTTAAATTGAAGTTTTCCTTTAAAACTTTAAATATAGTCAGGAAAAAGTCATACTTTACTGCTTGTTCGGAAAAATACTTTCCTGGCTGCCTCTGTCTAAGACTGTGTAGGTCTCCTCCAGGGCAGAATTCCATTACCAAACACGAAAACTTGTCGGTTTCGAAGTGGGAGTAGAGACTCGGAAGGAAGGGATGGTCCAGGGACTGTAAGATCTCCCTTTCCGTCTGAGCACGAAGAAGCTTCTTACGACCTGCTAGGGATGCTTTGTCCATGACTTTCATTGCGAAGTAGCATTTCGTTCCACTCAACTCGGCCAAATAAACACTCCCAATATCTCCACAACCTAACCTCTTCAGCAGTCTGAAATGGCTCAAACCTAAGACACCATCTCTGGATCGGACTGCTTGAATGGCTTCCCATCTTGAATCATTTGCTTTGTGGGGTTTGCTGACACTGCTGTTAAAACTGCTACATGTGCTCTCGTCACTCACATCACTGCCCGTGCTTTCTCGATATGTACTGTATTTTCCGCTCTCAACAACATTGGCATGATCGCCAATTTTGGCACTTCCACTTGTTTTTACTAGATTGCTTGCACCGTCACTAACATTTGCCAACACAAAACTATTTTTCACGCTTCCTTGCTCAGTTATTTTCTTTCCTTGATCAACAGAACTTTCTTGTGAGCTAATCTCATTTACTTCTGAATCTACAGCCGTTGACACTAGCTCAATATTGGCTGAAGAGATACTTGAATCAGATTTTCCAGACGACAAATTTGCAGACTCTTTAGAATCAACTGAAGATTCATTTTTGCAGTCATTTGGCTCGATTTCTTGCTGAACAACATTGCCTATTTGTTGCATTTCTTGGGAACGTCTATCACCAGTTTTTGAGGCCATCAAAGAGAGAAATTTACTTCGCTTTTAATTAAATCCAAGAAAATATTGATCCATGATGTCTTCTTGATTACTGTTAAAACGTTTATTCACCACCAATGCTGCCACATAACAAACGTGTTAAATTTAAAAAATAACCATTACAGCAAATACTGTCTCAGCCTAGCCTCAAAGAGCATTTCTAAGTAGACAATTCAGATACACAAATTGTGGAACAAGATACATAAAAGTCTTATTGAGCAATTTGATGTGAAAATTCGAATTATGCGAATACCATATCCACATCTAACTCGTCAAGAATCAATCAGTGATGAAGATATTCATGGATCAGAGTTTTAAAAATGCCTGGAAATTGTAACAAATTAATCGAAGTTGAATTTTTGAGGGGGGAAAAAAAGAAAAAGTTCCAAACTCCCCGTATATTCAAAAAGCTCCTTTTATCAAATCGCGTACGAAAAATAAGAGGGGAAAGAACAACAAAGTGGGCTACAAAAAAAGAGATGGAGACTACACATGTAGAGAACTGGTCAACGAAACAGCTTCATAAAAATACTTTTCATTTTTCTCAACAAAAAGCTTAAAGAATTAAAATATCAAAATCACTTCCAGAAAACCTGAAAAAGAGAAGTTCAGAAAAAGAAAAATAGATGCAGGAATCAAGGGCCACCGAAAAAAGTAAAGATAGCAGTTTCATAATAGCATGCAATAATTTCATATTCATAGTAATCAGAGACTAATTCATGCTAAAATTGTACAAAAATCATATCTTGATACAAAACCCACAATAATTATGCAATTTCCAAGACAGATCCAGAATCAAAAAGAGTATAAACAACAACCCCGAAAGGAGAATCCTGAAACCAAAAGGCACATGCCTACAAGAACCCAGAAAAGAACCCTTACTTGAAAGAACAGAAATAAGAAAAGCACCTAAATTTACAAGTATAGAAGGGCTTAGCTTTGGCAGTGATGAAAAAGAGGGCTATAGAAAGGGAATTCTCTCTGATGACCTGTTTGTCGTTGGTTTTGTATCTGTGACTACAACTAACAAGTGCAGAGGAGAGAGAGAGATGTTTCCAAGTAATATAAAAATTGGCTGGGACCCCACTTCATGGACTATTAGGCGAATCAGAGTTGGAGGGGATGTTGGGGTCAAAACTCAAAGCCGTAGTATAATAACCAAAGACTTTCTTTTTCTATCTTGTACAGTATTTTTCTTTTTTTCTTGGAAACAATTGCACCGGTTGATCCCCTACCTCTTAAAAGGCTGTTTGGGAGTTGTTTATAATAAATTATAAATAAATAAAAATAAGTATTTATGAATTTCACGATCATATGGATCAAAAGTGATTTGATAGATTATAAATGATAACCAAACAAGGTTTTAGTTTCAATCTAATCATTTATTGAAAAAGATAAAAGGTCGAATCACGATAGAATCAGGTTCAAATTGGTAATTACGAACACGAAATCGATCAATCTTTAATTATTTCTATGTGTCAAAATTTACCTTTTTGGCCTATAATTGAACTGATTTCCAAATTTTCTAGTTGATCGGTAGGGGTCGGGTTTTGACAAGTAATAAGTTGGTCATTAAAGTCCATATTTGATTTAACTAAAAAAGTTGATAAAAATTACAGTGCAAATAAAAAAATTGATTTCAAACACACGTTTCATGAAACTCGCAACTTTTATCAACTCTTCCAACAAGTGTCATTAACTTTTATCAGAATTTACTGAAAAATTGATTTTTAGCTAAAGTAAACAGAGGATAAATGTTAATAAGAGCAAATTAATCTCTAACATTCTTATTATAAATAATTTAAAAATCAATTTGGTTCAATTTTTTGCTAGATGACGATCGGACCATCATGAAAACACATATTTGAAGCAAAATTGAGCTTTATAAAATTAGACAAACGAGTATTACATGATATTTTAACAAAAAAATTAGACAAATTCCAACACTAAATGCTTGATGTAGAATTATAATGAATGTTTGAGGACTAAATTGCTACTTAATTGCGAGCTTTATATTTTCCTTGTCGACATGTTTTGATTGATGAAATGGATAATATTTGGGGGGAAAGTTAATTTTATTTTTTTATTATTTTCAACCGTGTATTTTGTACTTTTTTAATTATTCAATAATTCATTGTTTTCTGGTCCCATAGCTTTTCGGACGCAGCACGCAGCCCATCCAGGTCTTTCTAAATTAATATATATCCCTTAATTTCTCAATTTTTTATGATAAAAGCAACGGAAAATCCTTGCATGGTCTGAAAGCGAAAACAATCTAACACGACTAGAATACGTGACATCGCGTTACTTAATAATAGGGGCGGAATTAGAATAAAAATAAAAGAGTTGTGGGATATATTTCCACAAAATTTAATTGTGAGACCAAAATTGAAAATTATAAAAAAAAAATTTAAAATATTGCATAATATCTTAGCCTCGGTTTGGCCCCCCATTAAAATTTTAATCCATCTTTTTCTCACTTCTTTCCAGTCACACATTTTTTATTAAAATAATACTACACGTAAATCAAAAAAAAATTCTTCTTTTTTAACCACGTGTTATCCGAAAAATTACTATTCCAAAATACGTTATTTCCAAAAATCTCATTATAATAGGGGCCAAACAAGGTCGTAGTTTAAAGTTTTGGAATTGAAATTTAGTATGGGGCAGCGAACCCCACTGTCCCCACACTAACTCCGCCCCATGCTTAATAATAGAAAAAAAAAATTATTACATCCGTATTTTCATACTAAATGCTATTATTTATATGATTTTATCAATAAACTATTTTATTTAAATTTTTCTATTTTTTTAATTTTCATTTCTATACGTGTCTCTCTATCTTTATTAGTATAGTCTATAATGATAATGATCGATGACTCAGAAATTCTCAATTGGTTGCCTCTCCCTTTCCCTACCTTATCCCATCTCTTCATGAATCTTTACAAATTCAAATGGTCTTCTAGCTTTGAACTTGCACGAGTTGTCTAAAGTATCCATCGTATGTGATACATTCTCAAGGTAAGACAACCATCAATTTACCCACACACCTATCGTAGTTCCTCTAAAAGCCCAAAAAAAAAAAAACCGCTCTTTTAGAAATGAGTTTCTAAACATTAATTAAAGTAGCTTTTTTTCAGAAAATACTTCTACAAAAAAATAAGAAGAAAGTAGAAATCTTGTCAAATGGACTCTTGACAAGATTTTCTCAGACCAAAACGAACAGTATAAAAACTTTATTGGCATGTTGTAAATCTCCAAGGTGCATTATGTCCATAGAAGTGAGCCTTATCGCTATACCTAAATGTTTCCTTGAAAGACAGAGAAGCAGCATCAGCCTAGCTCCCAAATGCCATGTTGTGATGAGACAATGCAATTACTCGTCAATGGCCTTATAATCTACCGTATGCGTGCGTGCGTGTCAGATATGTGTGTGTGTGTGAGAGAGAGAGAGAGAGAGAGAGAGAGAGAGAGAGGGGGGGGTGGGGAGGGGAGGGGAGATCAGGCGAGAGAGAGAGAGAGAGGGGGGGGTGGGGGAAGAGCAAACTTGCATAAATAAATGATCCCATATTGGTAATTTATGAGTAATTAATTCTACCATGGAGAGAGCCGTTTATCTACGATGTCGGGAGTGGGGCTTTAATTATTGAGTCCGTGGCTGTGAAAGTAAAGCACGAAGGAGCAGTAGACATGAACCAACCAACAGTATAGAGGTCCCAACATCATCCTCATTATTTTCATATTTATTACAATAACAAATAAGTTAGTTGAAATTCATTACCATTCAATTCCAATATTAAGACATTCCCTCGTTATTGTTTATACCGAATAAGATACATGCCACCATACACCACCAATTCTTACAAAATTTGAGGTCGGCTACTCGACTATGTAATTTAGCCTAGTTGGATGATGTGATATATTCGTCAGTTAGCAGTATTGTTAGACTGTGTCTGGGAGAGCAGTTTAAGGCCAAAAAATTGATTTTCCAACCGTAAGAAATGAAAAAAATGTCCATTTTTTGCTTAAAATTTACTGAATAGCTCTACCAGACAGCCTCTTAATAAATAACAAAGTAGTGAGCACAGTATCGTCCAACATAATCAAATAATCAAATATTTAGTAAGTTTAAGAGTCTAGATAGGCTTGTAAAATACACTTATTATCTAAAATAATTAGATAATACTTTATTTTTATTTTTTCATTAGTTAAACGATACTGAAATTAATATAAAAGGTAGTTGGAAAAATATAAATAAAATTTTGTTTTTTAAAATGTTCACAGATTTTGTAAACATAGTGAAGGATTTGATTACCTAGCTACCAAACATCTGATTTGAAAGAGTTGGAATGACTAAGGAATCAACTTTGGCAAGTTTGTGTTTTGTTTGGTTTGGTTAGGTTAGGTTTCTTGTCGTGTCAATGTTTGTAGGCTCAGGTCACTATCCAAGTCTTTGGTCCTTCTCGTATATGTGATGGCTGAATTATGGAGTTTTGGGCACTTTGTTATCTCAAAAATAAGACTATAGATACAATAGATGTAAAATGAAAAGGTAAATTAACATGTGAAAGTTGAGGTCGAATTAAAGTCCAACTAGTGGTCGAGCATGTATAAAATTATATTATTTTTCTCTATCTTTTATTTTTCATAACTTCCCTCCAAATTATTATATTATTTTCATCTATTGAAAATTGAAATACTTTGAATGTATTAAACTCACTATTTATTTTAAAATATTAAAGAGTCGCCTGAAACATAATTTTAAGAGTTGACTCTTTAAAATAAATACAATGTTATGTTTAAAAAGTCTCTTAAAGATGTTACAAGGATCAACGACTTAGTTAACTAATGAAGTTTATGTTAAAGTGGAAAGAATATATATAGGAGCGCGCCATTTCTCAAGAATATGAGTTAAAATGACTTGACAGTACTACTTGGATCTAGAA